ATTTATTAAAAAATAAAAAATCTATTCTAAAAATGTAGCGCAAGTGTCTATGAATTATATTTAAAAGAAATTTTTTAAAAATATTGTCAGAAATCAGAATGTCAGATCTCTGTGGGACACCCTGTATAATCATAATTCATAACCGTTGTCTGTGGTACTTATTGTTGTAGGCACATCGTGTATAAATTGCTTTAAATGTTCATCTTTGAATGGAAGCAATGCGAATTGTGAAGATCCATTTAACCCTGCAATGTCCACATACATAGAAAAATGTATGGTTCCAAAAAGAGGTCACGTAGGAATGTTTCCAGCAAATTTTTGTACTAAAATCATTGGGAGAAATGGTAAGTGAAATTGAAATACAAATCTGTTGACAAATATTAAATAGATATTAACTATTTAAAATGGGATTATTTTACATGTAATTTCCTGACAAATCGAAACATATACATATAATATAACATACTAAAATTAACTTACCTATGTGTGTATGTAGGTTGCATAAAGCGTGTGTTATTGCTGGTTAGGTTATAATAAATTATAACTCATAATTGTATTACAGTGTTAACCAATGAAATTATGGTCATCAGACAATGTGCCATGAAAACTATGGACTCTCAGTGCGGTAAATTCAATTATCAAGATCACACCATGGACGGATGTATTCTCACCTGTGATTTCGACGGGTGTAATTCAGGACAAAATAATAAGCCCAATACGGTGTTACAAATAACGCTTTCTTCGCTGCTACTAGTATTAACATCATACTATGTCAACAAAACTATTGAATGTTTTCAAATTACTTAGAATAACTATTTGATGTAAAATCAAATATCTAGCTTTTCAATGTATATTTTATAATTGTTAAGTNTACCTTAAAGTTTCTGGCCTGATTAGGTATAATTATTTTGATTCATAATAATTAATATACAAGCTTCAATAAAATTGTAATATTATTATTTTTATTTTTAATCCTTATTTTGCTAAATTCATTATACGATTATTATAATATTATGGTTACGCTAATATAAGTTAGTCATTTAAGTAAATCAACGCTGTGATTATTTTGATCTAAATTGTAAACATTTGATTACCTACCTGGTTATTAGAAGGATAAATATTGTTATTGAATCGAGCAAAAATATGATTTTAAATATCTATAGTTTACATTTGTTAACTAGTACTGTAGATGATATTGTGTCCATAATCAAAAGTAGGAATAAAATAATATATATATAACGGTACGTAGTATTTAATTGCTATTTATTGATTTAATTTTATAGTTCATCATATTATATGAATTCTTTGGAAATGTTATACTACAATTGTTTATAATTAAAGTTATTTTATTTGTTTACCTAATGTATTTTGCTATTTTTTATTCGTTTAAAAAYTAAATATTGATAAAAATATAGAAAACAATTATTCTGAATTTAAAGTATAATCCTATTTATATGACGTGTTGAAATTATTGGTACATACCTACCTTATATTTAGGTATATATATTGTATGTTGTATGTATCACTAAACTTGTTTTTTATGGAGATACAAATTTACATACTTATCTAGTATCTAGTACCTAATGTATGATCAAATAATAAATAAAAATAGGYATACTTAACCAAGTTGCAGTTATATTTGGAGTTGAATTTCACCTATCCAGCAGTTTAATATGATCTCTATCATAATAAGATTCTATAATMTATTAGTTTTCTTATAACTTATTCAAAATTATATTTCATCTATTACTTCTATTACAGATAGTCACATACGAATCCACTAATGTAGGCACCTAATACACTAACACAAAGTAATTATTTAAACAGTTTTTTAGATTGTTCTTTTTTATCATGAAAAATGATATTTATAAGTTTATTCCTACAAAAACGTCTGAACTCTATATTTTGAGTTTAGAAATTTATGTATACCGTCTATCGAGTGGCTTAGTGGTATGGCAGCTTATGCCCAACTTMAGATATAAAAGCTTTAAGTATGGAAAAAAGCTATTATTTTAGAGAAATTTAAGTATTAAGCAATAATTATTATCAACCTACTGTCAACCCTCATATAAAGCCCTATATGGCCACATAAATACATTAAATATAGATAATCAAAAAATCAAGCGTGGAATGTGGATCTTAACCATATCATAATGTATACTATATTAACCATAGATTTATAATTTCATAGAACACGGTACCTAGTTAGGTAACTTATCTAAGATAATTT